GACATGTGCAGAGTCCTCTACACCAGAGCTTCCTCCCGAAGCAAATCTGACCCGTCACCAGCCTGCCTTTGGACTGACAGTGTACGTGTGGCGTGTGAGTGTGAATACAGATTCCCTGATGCACAACTGCTCACTGTCCTGAAGGAGCCAGCCCGATGCTTCCCTTTGAACTACCTACAAAGAAAGCAGGTGCCCAGCAAATGTACTGTGAGCACATTTTAAGAGTAGGAGACGGAGATAGAAACTCCTCAAAGATTAGGTGGTTCCCATTGCCCACAGGTGCCACAACAGCACACAACCTTTACAGGCAATGTGGAGGCTGGTCATGGGCTATTCCTCGCTGTTCAGTAAAGTAGACCCCCTGCCTTGAGGATCTTGATTGACCTTAAAGTCTAAAACAATACATTGTCTCCCTGCACACGCTGTCAGTGAGACTCTCCCCCCACTTTACTCTACTTGCCCGTTCACCTCCCCTCTCCCTGGCTGTTCCTGGTTAGAGAGCCCTCGGTGGGGGCCTGGCCCAGCTGTCAGCGCCCCGCCCGGACACACCGCTCTCACTCCATGGGCGCTTGTCCAGGGGATAAGGTCCAGTCCCACGCACACACGTTCCCCAGAGACTGTTCTGGTAGGAGCTCCCACAGTTGCTCGAACCCTTACCTCACCCATTGGATGCCTGGGTCTGAGAGTCGGTGTTGGGTTCGGACAGTCACGAGAGACCCAAGGCAGTATTTTCTCACCCATTTAACTCCTCAGCAACTAACTCGCACAATAAGGCACATCGTGGTGTCGTGAAACAGGACACCCTCGTAAACCAGCTCTCGCCTGGCCACCCAGCATCCTGCTGGCCACCAGCACACAGGGAGCCTTCTGTCCTCAGAGTCCATAGTCATTTAACTTTGTATTGTACTAGCCATTTTCTAGATAACATACACCATTTTTACTAACTTTTTTGAGCTATAGTTCACGTGTCATAAAATGCATCAATTTAAAGTATACAACTCAATGTTTTTTAGTATATTCACAGTTATACGGCCATCACCACAATGAATTTTAGCACATTTTCATCACCTCAGAAAAAAAAACCCATACCCATTAGCTGCGACTCCTCGTTCCCCCTGCCCCTCCCCTGCTCCAGGCCACCACTGACCTACTTCTGCCTCTATAGATCTGACCACTGTGGACAGTCTGTACAAATGGAATCAGACACCGTAGTCCTTTGTGTCTGGCTTCTTTCACTTAGCACAATGTTTTCAAGGTTTCGTCGATGTTGTAATGGATCTCAGAACTTCATTTCTTTTTACTGCCAAATAGTGTTCTGTTGTATGGACACCACAATTTGTTCATCCATTCACCGTTTGATGGACATCTGAGTCGTTTCCACCTTTTGGCTATTATGACTAATGCTGCCATGCACTGGCGAAGTTTCGTGTGGACACATGCTTTCCCTTCTCTTGGGTATATACCTAAAAGTAGAATTGCAGCATCAGATGATAACTGCACGTTTAAGCTTTTGAGAAACGGCCAGACTGCTTCCCAAAGGGGTTGAACCATTTCACATTCCCATTAGCAGGGAACGGAGGTTCTGGCTGCCCCACACTCTTGCCAACGTTTGTTGTCCGTCCTCGTGGGTATGAAGCAGTATCTCCTTCTGTGTCTGATGCTCATTTCCCTGCTGACCAGTAATGTTGAGCATCTCTTCATGTGTGTGTTGGCCATTTTATGTCTTCTTTGCAGAAATGTCTATTCAGATCCTTCACCCATTGTAAACTGGGTTATGTGTCTTATGTTTTGAGTTGTAAGAGATCTTTATGTATTCTAGATGCCAGACCCTTATCACATATGTGATTTGTGAAAATTTCTCCCAATCTGTGTGTTGTCTTGTCACCTTCTTGATAGTGTCCCTTAAAGCACAGAGTTTTGAATTTTAATGATGTCAAATTTATCTATTTTTCCTCTGTTGCTTATTATTTTAGCAGCATGTCTAAGAGACCATTGTTTAATCTGGGGCCACAGAGATTTATGCTTGTGTTTTCTTCTGAAAGTTTTATAGTCTTAGTTCTTTCGTTTAGGTCTTTGATCCATTTGGAGTGAATTTTTGTAGTACCCTGTGAGGTCCCATGCCATTTTTGAAAATAAAATGAGAAATAATCAGGAGTTTAAGAAATACGCAACTATCTTTGATTTTTAATCGAAAATCATGTGATGTTTCATTAAACATATTTACTGGAAAAAGATTAACTTCTAATGACGCTGATTTTCTCAGTATTTACTGTGAGAATTGTATAAGCTAAGAATTGTTAGAAAAGGCCTTTGATGTTTTTTTTTTAATCAACTGCTTTCAATAAAGATTTAAATAAATGAAGCCATATTTTAACATGCTACATAAAGTAATATTTTTTAAAAAATTTAAAAACATCTTTATTCTCCTCTTAGAATGATACGGGCTCTAGTTTAACACAGTGGTCCTCAGTCAGGGCTGACTTTGCTCCCCAGGGGACACCTGGCAGTATTTGGAGACATCTCTGTTTGTTACACTGCGGAGGGGAGGGGGTACCAGCCTCCACTGGACGGAGATGCTGCTGAACAGTCTACAATGCACAGCACGGCTGCAGGCACAAGGAATCACCCAGCCCCAAGTACCCACTGTGCCAAGGTTGAGAACCCTGCTTTAACTAAATCAGTGGCTTCTCCCGGGTGTATTCGAGAAGAGATGTGAGTTTACGAATCCTTTCCTCTCATTGACAGCCACCTGGTTCTCTTCCTCCTCGATACTGAGCCTTCCAGAGGCCAGAACGCGCCCCAGAACCCTAACTTCCGTCACAGCCTCTTACAGACAAAGATCTGTCAGGTTTCTCCTTGTGAGGATTGTTGGGAAAACACTTGCGTTCACTGCTTCATTTCTTTTTTATTTGTATGTTTTCATTTTTTTACTTTTGAGACATATTTGGATAATTCATCCCCTGTGTAACACACATATGCGGATCACCAATCTCCTGTTAAAATGTTTCTCATCTGATTACAGAACAACAGTTATAATAAGTAGTTACGAGTGCTCGGCACTAACTTAATTTTCTCAATGACTCCGAGAGTGACTAACGCTCACACTTTCAGGCTGTAGAAATGGAGGCGCCATGAGACAAAGCAGCTGGCCCAGGGTCGCAGGGGTCGTCACTACTCCAAGTCGGGCATGAGCCTGATGGGTGGGGCTCAGCTGGGAGGTGCAGCGTGTCACAGCGCGTTGGTTACTCGAGACGGGCAATCACAGAGCGACAGTGCCCTGCCACGAGGGTCCACCCTCTCACCGTGGACATAACCACACGCACGTGGCCCACCTGGGACCGTCACCAGTCCTGCAGAACACAGTGGGCAGTGTCAGAGGACTGCTGCTTAGGGGAAGCTGGGATGTCTGTGACATCGCTTATGTTCTTGACATTCAGCCGCCGATCAGTCAAGGCGGATTTTCTCCCTGTTGGCCCACTCCTCGTCACGTGCTCCAGCCCCCAAACGCCTCTCCTGACTGGGGCTCACATCCACTTGCATGCACGCCAGCACCACTCTCGGAGCCCCTCCCACACACTGGGAGCCCCTGGCACACGCTCTCAGAGCCCCTCCCACAGGCCGTGCACGGAGCCAGGCCTGGGCCCCTTCGGCTCTCCCAGAGTCGCCGTCACTCACTGGTCCCCTGATCTCGCAGCCACTGCTCTTGCTGGAACAGCACTGTGGTGTCAGACAGTGGTGAAACATCTTGTTAAGAAAATCGTACTGCAGTTTAACCGTCGTTTGCCCCCCGCAGGCCCTATCCCTTTTGTGCTTGTAGCTGTCTTCACACACGTGACGTCATTTCCCTCCCTCAGGGCTTTCGGGAAGGGGCTGGCGTGAGGGTGAGTGAAGGGAGGATGAGATGAGATGGCTGTCCAGTTTGCCAACTTGGGGGCGTGGCAGGAAGCCAGGTGAGATTTTGCTCACATCTGTCTCCCAGGCATCCTCCACCGCCTCTTCGAGTGAAAGGGGGAGAGAGCAATGACTAGAACTGAAGATTTCTCTCCTCCCCCTGGCTTTTGTTCCAGTCCTGTCCCTGAAACTCCTTGGGCAAAGTTTTTCCTCGCTCTGGGCCTCAGTTTCCCCTTGAAGGAAGGGTGCGTTCACCAGACAATTTCTAAGCATCTTTGCAAGTATCTCTGAGGTCCTGGGGACTGAGTTAAGGAAAGCCTGTGGGATCCGAATCCACCCTAATTAGGAATCTGCTTTAGGAGGAAGCCCTCACCTAGAAGCCTGCCCAAGTTTGAAGGAGACACCGCAGTGATTGGTTGATGCTATCTTTCTTCAGAGACTCATCTCCAGGGGCGACGTTCAAAATATTTAACAGCCAGTGTGTCCTGAGCTCGGACTGCCGGGAGGGTAGCAGGCAGCTGGCTGGGCCTTCCCGGGCTGCAGCCTGAAAGCCCGCCTCGCCACCTCGCCCACGCTGCCACCTCGCCCACCGCATTCGCCTCGCCCACCTCGCCGTTCTGCTGAGCCTTTGCCCACTTGTCTTGTTTGCATCTGCCTCCTCCTGCCTGACTCTGCCTCCAGGGCTCTAACTCAGACGCCTTGGCCTTCTTCTCTCCCCATCACTTTATACACAACAGCTATAAATAGCCTCCTGCATCCAAACACCAACTTAATCTTATTTGTCACTCAGCAGATGCTCTCTGTGTGTCGCTCTGTGCTCAGCCCCGTGTCGGCTGACCCCTCACCCCCTCACCTTCAAAAACATGAGAGGCTGAGAAACACAGGGAGGTTGAGAGGCCTGGCTCTGCGCCTCTTCTGCTGTGTGACCGTGGACGAGTCCCTGCCCCTGCAGGTGTCAGATTCCTTCCCTGTAAATGAGTGACTTGAGCCCGGCTGTTCAATGATGAGTTTCTGGAGAAATGCATGTCTTCAGCAGCTGACCGCTCTCTCTCTCTTTCTCTTTCTCTCTCTCTCTCTCTCTGTCACCTGGGCCACCACCTCCACTGTAGAATGCACTGCTGCCTGCAGGCCTGAGGCAGAAGGATCAGACCACCAAGGCCCCCACGGGCCCCTTTAAAAGGGAGGAGCTCTTGGATCACTTGGAAAAGCAAGCAAAGGAGTTTAAGGACCGAGAAGATCTGGTCCCCTACACAGGGGAAAAGCGAGGTACTGAACGCTGTTGCCTTGTGGGTGTGTCACTCCCCGCGCCTCTCCGGGCGCCGGCTGCAGGCCGGGCCTCCTTGTTCGCATCCCTGCCTGGCCCTGAGACATCGACCCAGCTCCAAAGCATCAAAGGTGTACATTTAGGGAAGTTTTGGGGTAAACCAGACCAGCAAAACTCCCTCTTTAGTCCCCTTTAGCTGCAATGTCCTGCTTATTTTTCATACAAACCTAGACACTTCTGAAAGTGAGAGAAGTAGCTATCAGTCATGATATCAGGACATGAGGCCCAAACGAGGCCCATCCTGCAGAAACCAAGAACAAGAGATGCCCTGTCTGTGTCCTTAGCATCCCTGCTCTCTCCCCGAAGTTCCTCTCTCTGGCAGTTGCGTTATTCCTTCCTTCCTCTGTCCCTCCACGCCCCTGCCCCAGCGTGAGGCAAGCCTTCTAGAAGTGTCTGGGGAACACAGAGGCAGTCCCTGACCTCCCAAGACTACCCAGCCCTTCTGGGACTTTCTGTTGCTCTCCAAACCGTTCTGCTGCCCTCCCTCTTCTATCCTGCTTGCCCTTGCCTGGCGCACTGCTTCCCTGAGGGCCTCCTGCTCGCCGCCCCCCCCCCCCGCCCCGCCCCGGGCACCACTCCCCTCTGCCTGGAGCGCTGGCCCTGCTGTGCACCGCGCGGCTGTCTTCCTCCCCTGTGAGTGGCTAATAGTTGGGAGCGCAGCCTGGAGCTGGGTATGTTTCGGTTCAACCCGGGCACACCCCTCACTAGCTGTGTGAGCCGGAGTAAACTGTTACACCCGCTGTGCCTCCATCTCCCGGTCTGTAGAATGGGGGCGGTGAATAGTGTGACCAGCTATGAGGACTGAGGTGAGATGTACAGAGAGCACTCACAATAGCACCTGGCCTGTAGGGAATTCTGTGCAAGCGCCAGCGAGGAGGACCCTTCGGTCCCAAGTGTCCCGTCTCCTCTTATCAGGGAGGCCAAGGAGGGCTTCCTGTCTCCTCAGTTTAGGACATGCAGTCCCTTCAGCCCCCCCTTGGCACGTCTCCCCCTCGCCCCTCGGAGCCTGGGGGCTTCCGTCATGGCAGGTCCCATGTAGTCACCATCTCTTCGCTCATCACTTGCCTCTCTCACTGGCCTGTAAGCCCCATGAGGGCGGGGCCTCGGGCTGTGTGTGCTCAGGCGGTACCCTCAGCACCTGGCGCAGGGCCTGGTGTACGGTGGGGCCCAGTGGGCAAAATGAATGAGTTCAAATTAAATAAACGTATAATGAATCGCAGGCCACTGCCTTAGAGCAAAAGCCCCACAGGGACAAGGACCACATCTGCCTGTTTGTGACATCTGCACCTAATAAACCCTGGCACATAGGAGATGCCCAATGTGTACCTGTTGAATTAATTAGCTAATTGTGTAACTGATTGTTTATTTCCAGTCTCTCCCTACCCCAAGCGTCCAGGTCTGTGGCTGTTATCTCTGCATCCCTGTTGGGTTAGCACAATACGCCGCCCAGAGCATCGGCTTGATAAGCGATAAAATGAAAAAGCCAGTAGATATAGACATGGCGGGGTTGGCGGGGGGACAGTGAGCCATCCCAAACCCTGGTGCTGGAGCTCAGACCAGATTTTACTGAAAACCTGGGGGGTCGGGGAAGCCCAGGGCCACCTGAGTACGGAACTCCAGAAGGACCGTGTGACCCGAGGCACCCTGGCCGGATGGCAGGGCCAGGCCTGGGAACAACTGGGGCCTTGACCGTGAGGGCTAGGTGTGCCCGCTGAGAATGCTGGCACGAGATGCTTTCAAGCAAGGCACTTGTGCCAGGAGGAGTGGTTTCTGTGTAGCAGATAAAGACAATGGAATCTCTGGGTTTCACGAGGCTTTGAAACATCCAGCATCCCAGCTGCCCATTTGAAAAATGGGGAGGCCGAGTCTGAGAGAGTCAGCGGAGGACCTAGGTAGACAGCTGGTGAGTCCTGGCTGGCATCCACTTCCTCGGGCACCCACCCCTCTCCCAGGGGAGGAACTGAAGATGGGGTGCAGGTGGGGAAGGGAATCAGGGTGGCGCACACTCAATCCTGCACCTCCAATGATGCCCCCCTGGCCTGGAGTCTGCAGCAGAGCTCCGGGCTCCCAGAGCCTGACTGCCTTCATGGGGGGAAAGAAGAGGCAGGCTGACCCCAGGCGGGTGGCTAGATTTGTTCTACTGCTGTGTAGTGACCAGCCTAAAGGGTTCATCATCATCACTGTCATCCCCACCAGCAGCGCCATCACCAGAAAGGATTTCCTGATGGTCGTTGGAGTCCTTGCAGGCTGAATTCGTGGGCTTCTCAACAGAACGTGTGGGGAACACCTTCCAGCTCTAACAGCCGGACGCAGGGCCATTTAGTCCAGCCCACGCTGAGCGTCCACCCGACACTGGGCCGAGAGCTGGCCTCGGCGGGGGTGGACAGCACTCCAGCGCGCAAGGCCCCACAGAATGTGGTAGGAGCCACACGCTGGTGCAAAATCCTGAGGAATTTGAACTTCCTCCACTCTCATTCAAGCGGGGGATCAGAATAAAATATCCATGCAGTATATTTTCTTTAAAATTAGATTTGACTACATGTGCTAGGAGGGGGGAAGTAAAACAAAAGAGACACTCAAGGTGGAAGTTTAATTTTCTTTCCCTCAGAAGAGTTTGGGCTGGTAAGGTGTCTTGTCTGGTATTAGGAATCAAGACCCTTTCTGTTTTTTTAATCTGCCATTCCTCCAATATGTTCTTGCCTCCTGGTCTTTCTGGCTGCTGAAGCTCCCGTCATCACATCACCATTCCAATCAGTAAGATGAAGGAAGGGAAGAAGCCCAAGTCCTTCTCGTGGTGTCTCAGAGTCACCGCCCTCCGTGGAGGCACCAGTGGCAGGGATCTAATACACCATGGACCTTATATTTATTGACTGTTCTTCCTCATCATCATGTCACTCATCTTCACAGCCGATTGTCATTCCAGCCACTTCGTTTTCTTTGTATGTTTTGTCCTTTTCCAGATTTTCTCCTAGATGATTCTGTTGTGTTTTCTGCTTATATAGGTATTGACCTTTGCTGGAAACAATTTAAAAGACAAAACGGAGTCTTTTCTCCACTGATAGATGTACACTGATCCCAGTTAGTGAACTTCCTTCTGGACATTTCTCTCTGCACCTCCTGCCCCTTCCCACCTGTCCCATGCCCCCTCGGTCCGCGTCACCATTCCCCCTCACCTGGCCGGAGGAGCCTCCTGACCACCTCCCAGCTTCCGTCCTCACCCCCTCTTTGGGCTGTTCTCAATCAGTAGTGAAAGTGAGCAGGGTTTTGTGGGGTTTTTTTATTGAGGTAAAATTCACATAACATAGAATGAACCTTTTTAAAGTAAACACTTCAGTGGCATTTAGTACACCCACAATGCTGTGAAGCCGCTGTCTCTGTCCACAACCAAAACGTTCTCGTCAGCCCAAATACACCCCGTCCTCCATGGGCTGCTGCTCCCCTTCTCCCCTGCCAGCCACCCGTCTGCTTCTGTAGATGTACCTGTCCTGGGTATCTCCTGTGCGTTAACTCATGCAGTGGGTGACTCCGTGTATCTGGCTTCTTTCGCTCAGCGTATGGTTTTCAAGACTCGTTCATTCCCTTTCACGACTAAGTAATATTCTATAGCTTGCCTACCCCTCCGCCCCCTGATGAACTTTTTTGTTGTTTCCCCCTTTTTGGTTATTGTAGTCAGTACTATTACAAACATCTATGCACAAGTGTCCGTCTGAATGTCTGTTTTCAGTTCTTTTCGCTGGGTCACACGGCAATGCTGCGTTTGCTGGTCTCAGGGGCTCGCTTCCTCCTCATTCCTTCCCAGCTCACAGGCCGCCACGTCAGTGCAGCCTTCCCTGACCCCCCAGCCTGGAGGGGCATGCCCACCTCCCTCGGCCCCCAGCCCCCAGCCTAGAACTCCCTGGTCATTTGCCCGGCTTCATTTCTCTCCACAATGCCATCTAGTCACTTTCCATAGTTGTTTGTCATCTGGCTGCTTTCACTAAATTGTACATTGTTCCTTGCTATTCCCCTGCCCCTAGACAGGTGCCTGGCACATAGGAAATAATAAATATCAGTTGTATGAATATATAGATGTCATTTTCAGACATGGAATTAAATTATTCATGCTATCTTTTTTAAAGAATGTTATTTATTTATTTTTATGGAGAGGGGAAAGGAGGGAGAAAGAGGGAGAGAAGCATCAATCTACAACAGAAACATCGATCTGTTGCCTCCTGCAAGCCCCCGGCTGGGGACCTGGCCCACACCCCAGGCATGTGCCCTGACCGGGAACTGAACCGATAACCCTCAGGGTCACAGGCCAATGCCCAATCCACTGAGCCATACCAGCCAAGACTTGTGCTATTTTGTACACTTGCTTTTGCCACATTTTATCTTCGAATTTGCCTTCTTAGTAAGTGGAAATCTCCATCATCCTTTATGAGAACAGTGGCACCTCCATTGTGTGGATGCCCCAGAATTTCTTCAGGCGTTCCTCCTGGGGGACACAGCAGTGACTGTGCTTGTGTGTGCCACTTTGCTCCCTCGTTCAGTTATGAACCTGACACCTTAGAAATATCATGTCCCACCCTGGCTGGTGTGGCTCAGTGAATTGAGTGCCAGCCTGAGAACCAAAGGGTCAACTGGTTCAATTCCCAGTCAGGGCACATGCCTGGGTTGCAGGCCAGGTCGCCAGTAGGGGGCACACAAGAGGCAACCACACATTGATGTTTCTCTCCCTCTCTTTCTCCCTCCCTTCCCATCTGTCTCAAAATAAATAAATAAAATATTTTTTAAAAATAAAAATATCATGTCCCATGAGGCAAGGAGACATTTCCTGCTTCCCATTCCACTTTGAATAATCTGAGTGTATTTTATTTACTTTGTTTAGAGATGGTTCTAAATTTTTCTCTCCTATCAGAACCTTTGGTTAGGGGATCCCAGACCCTGACATGATAACATACTTTTCTTTTGTATCTTTTTCCTACTTACAGGTCAAGTACATTAATGATCAGTGTTCCCAGTAGCGAGCAGTCTAGTTTGACCAGGCTGTAAGGGTCTTCTTTTCAAAGGTGAAAGCTGCTTTGTGGGAGATCTTCGATTCCTGTCCTCAGGGACTTTTGGCAGTGGGTCCCCAGAGGGACTCTCAGCACGGAGGGACCACAGGGCTCTGGGATGGTCACCCAGGCTGTCACTGGAGTCTGCCCCAGTGCCACGTACTCCCTGTGACAGGCGCTCATGTGTTTGCAGGCAAGGTCTGGGTCCCCAAGCAGAAGCCGATGGATCCTGTACTGGAGAGCGTGACACTGGAGCCGGAGCTGGAGGAGGCCTTGGCGAACGCCTCGGATGCCGAACTCTGCGACATCGCAGGTAAGAGGCATTCCAGAAGTCCCCGCGTGTCCTCCAGAAGAAGCCAACCCCCAGCTGCAGGGAGCCTTGGATGGTTTATGTCAACCCGAACGCTTTCTCTCTGTCTGGCAAGAACTAGAGTAGGCCAAGAATATTAGCACAGAAGTCTGTTATCTGACACCCAAACAAGGGAAATAGAGATAAAACCACCCACACCCACTACACCATGGAGCCATCTGTTGCAGCCATGAACTTGTCCCAGAGGGGTGTGGAAACCTCCTGGGGTGGGGGTGTGGGAGCTGTGGGGGCCCCATACCCACCCTGCACCAAATCCTGCCCACGCCACCTGGGAAGAGAAAACTGAGGGACAGACAGAAGGCTGTGGGCATCTCAGGTTTGGGAAGTTCGCAGGGGCTGGAGCAAAGCCACCTGATTTTAGCACTTTGCCCAGCTCAGATCCCCCCCATCTCATAGTCACACAAACAACACCCTCTGTCTTCACGTGTGTTTCCACATGATCCTCACAAGCAGTCCCACGACTCCAGGAGGTGGCCTGGTCCCCAGAGCCCTTCATCACCTCACTGTCTCCTTATTACGACCTAGTCCCTGCCCCCACACCTGCATTCCAAGTCCCCCCAGAGTCAGGCCTGACCACCGCAAGCTCTCCGCATGCCCCCCATCACACTGGGCCACCTGGCCAGTGGGCTGTCTGGCCTTTCTACTCCGCAGACTTGGGGGCTATTAGCTGTCACCCCGCTGGTGACAGATCGATAGGGTGGGGAGAGACTCAGGCAAGTGGGAAGGGGAGAGGAAAGATGGGCTTGACTCTGTCTGGCGGTGACAGTGAGGTTGGGGAGGAGTCAAGTCATGTTCCGGATTGCCAGCTCCAGAAACTTAGTGGATGGCGGTGCCGCTAAGGAAGGGGGGTGAGTTCGTCTGCTGGAGCTGCCGTAATAAAACACCACAGGCTGTGTGGCTTAAACAATAGACATTTACTTTCTCCTACTTCCGGAAGTTTGAAGCCCAAGATCAAGGTGTTGGCAGGTTTGGTTTCTTCTTATCGGCTGTAGATGGCCACCTCTGCGTCCCTCTGTGCACGTGTCCCCTGACATCCCTATCTCTTCTTCTGAAGACACCAGTCAGATTAGGTTAGAGCCCACCCTAAAAGCCTCATTGGAGCTTAATCACTTCTTTAAAGACCTTATCTCCAAATACAGGAATAAATTCTAAGGTACTGGGGATGGAGACTTTAATGCATGGATTTTGGAGGGACACAATTCAGCCCATAACAGTGGGAGAGGAGCAGGCCCAGGGCGGGGGGATGCTGAGTTCCCTCTGACGTGTCTGTGGGCCGGCCAGGTGGGAACACTTGTATGTGAAAGTCCTGAGTTCTGCAAGGGATCCACACCGGAGCCCTGGTGGCATCCTTAGCATAGAGGTGTGGGTGTCATTAGCATTGTCCAGCTCCAGGCAGAGGCCACGACAGGGGCAGGGCGGGGAGGGGGGGGTGGGGCTCTGCCTGCAAGTGTCCTGGCTGAGGTGGAGGGGGGAGTTGAATCGGGCAACGCCAGCCCCCTGGGGGCCAGGAACCCACACACAGGCTGGGAACCCAAGGCCAAATCAGAATGGGCAGAAACTACTCAAGAGTGAGGGAGACGGAATGAGGGTTCAGGGCTGGCTGGAGACTCAGAGGTACAGGCCAGGTGAGGCCACCAATCCTAGCGGACTTGGTCTCCTGCCCATCACATCCTCTGGCTTCTCGTGGGTGTTGTGCATGAGTCCTGAGGACATCTGTTACAGGGGGTGGGGAGCAGAAACGGGGATGGCTGTCGTCGGTAGTGGGACCATGTGGGGGAGGGGCAGTGAGAAGACTCAACTATGCAGGAGGGGCGACCCTGGGTGCTGGTAGCCAGAGCCAGGTTGTGGGACCCAAGGAGTGAATGTGGGGAGTCGGTGTATAGACTTGAACCCAATCAGCCTTTTCCTCAGGAGGCGGGACATTTACAAAGGCCTAAGGGCAGTGGCTGGAAGGTGTCAGGGCTGAGAGAGGAAGGTTTTCATTTTCTCTGTGAAGTAGGGAAGCAGCGGGCCTCTCACCCCTACGGAGACGGCACACTTAACTCAGCAAACGCAACTGGTTTGCTTTGAAGTTCAAGTTTTGTTCTGTCAAAACCACACAAATCATATCAGATCCCACATCATGTGTGAGTATTTTGGCCGAAGCATTTCCCTGACTTGGGAGGGAGGGCCGGTGTCCCCTGGACTGCCGGTGGTTAATCCGAGCTTCGAGGAGGTGTGTGGGCGGCACTGCCGCGCAGCACCCGCACACCGGCTTGCCCAGAGCTGTTTTTGCCCTGGTCAACAGCCCCCCCCCCCCCCAGCCATCGCCCTCCGTGACATCACTCCCCTCATCAGTCAGCTCGGGAGGATTATCGGATGACTGCACCCTCAGAACCGCCAGCTCCCGTGCCAAAGCAGAACTGCAGTATTGGGCTGAGTCTCTGTGTTGGTTTCTTGAAACTATTTCTCTTTATTTTTGCTGGCATGACTAATTATGATTATCTGCTCAGTTCATGATACCGTGCCCTTCTGAGGTCCTTAAAGCAGACGGCCGGGGTGGGGGGGTGGGCGGGGAGCTGTAAGCCGACACCAGCGCTCACTGGCTCACCTCGGTGCCTGGTGCCTGTCACCGTGCATGAGGCATTTGAAAAGCGGCAGTGTCTCTGGGGAACGAAGGGCTGCACGTTTGCTGATCGCCAACCACATCCCAGGGGCTGTGGGAGCTGCTCCCAGTGCCTTGCCTGTTATTTATTGACTGCAGCAATCCCATGAAGTAAGTTTTATTGTCCCCATTTTACAGATGGAGGAAGTGGGCACCGTGAGGTCACGTGCCTTGCCCATGGGGTTTGAACCCAGGCAGCTTCATTCTATGGGCCAGTCGCAGCATCACCGCCAGTGCCCCCTGGGTAAAGCCCGTCAGGGTTGGGGGCACAGTGGACACAGATGTTGGGTAAAGGGGGTGCCAAGTCTCACCGAGTTGGCTGGGGGCAGATGGGGCCACAGTAGGAAAGGCTCCTGATGCCACCCCAAGCACTGTCACCTGGGACTACGGGAGTGTTCAGACAGGTGATGAAAGCAGGGGCGTGGGCAGAGAGGCAGTGGTGTTTAGAGGGTGAGGGACACGGGGGCAGGCCCCAGGTGAGGCCAATGGCCAGGTGGAACCATGGGACAGACAGCACGTGAGTTGTGGCTCCACCGAGAGACCAGCAGTTCCTCATGCTGGATCAGAGGCCAGAATTTCAAAGATGCTGCAAGAGATGGAGGCAGTGGGGGCGGGACGTCCTGCCCGTCCTGCCCGAGCGAGCGCTGGGTGTGGCAAGCTGGCCAGAGGCAGGGTGGCAGGGTGGGGGAGGGGTTTGACCTTTCTCAAGGAGGAAGTGGATGGAGCCCCTGCAGGAGAGCCATCAGAGGGAGGAAAGTAGGGAGCGGCCTCCTCTCGAGCCTTCACGGCCCAGCTCCCAGGCAGAGCACTTCCATGAAGTGTGGTGCGCTGGTCCCCACATTCACTCCACAGCCATCGTCGTCCTAGCCTCCCTGCTGTGGCCAGGCTCTGGATGAGCCCCGGCAAAAGTATCCTAGGAAAGTGCCTGGTTCCTGCCCTCACAGAGCCACGTAAACCAAGTGGAATGATAAGTGAGAGTGAGCGTCATAAAAGAAAAAGGACGGGGGGGGGGGGGCTTGGCTGGGTGGTGGGGCCGGGGAGCTGAGGCCAGAGGTTCCGCTGACCCTAAAGGAGGAAGGGTCGGGCAAAATGGGGGAGCCGGGGCAGGAGGCAGGCCCCTCCGGGCCACTCACGTTGCAGATGCGCCTGCAGCAGGCTTGGTGTTTGGGGACGATGGAAGGTGCAGGGGACACCCAGCAGATGTGCTACACTGGCTCAGGTGTGATGCGGGCGAGGCCAAGCCCGTGAACTCGCATTCAGTCATTGGTTTTCACGTCTGCGCACCGTCTGTGCGTTTGTTCACCGCTTGAGGAGTCAGCATGCATTACTGAACTCCTACCGTGTGAGGAAATCAGACCCAGTCCCTGCTCTTGGCGAGCCCAGGAAGTGAGAGAGGACAGAGCAGAAGCGTGTAAATTTTAACATGAAAAGTGTCACCACAGGGTCGTGGACAGACAGACCTCCGACGGCACTGAATTCTCGGCACGTGGCCTTGGGTCGTGGCTCAGAGGCCACTGGGAGTCATCTGCAAGCATTTGCCATTATCAGTGCTGCCCCTTCCCCAGTTAGGGACGACTTGGCCTTTAGGGACTCCTCAGGTGGGACAGGACCCACGTAGGCACTGGGGTCAGGAGACTCACCCTTTGGAAGGACCGACCCCCAGGCCACCCCCAAGGACAGGTGGCAGCCCCACCCCAGGTTCCGGTGTGCTGTTGGTGCCCCCAGGCTCCTGTTCTGCCAGAGCCAGGGTGTGGCTTATCCAGGAGCCCTTCCACGGCACCCAAGTCCTGGGCCAGCGCCAGCTTCTCCCAGCCGTTCCTAGGATGCCTGCACCAGCCCCGAGCCCAGCGGACCGGTCGGCAGCAGAGGGGCCGGGATGTGTGCCATTATCTCTGCTTCCTCAGTGGGATCACGGACCGGGCGAACCCTGCCAAGGCAGGGAGCGGAGAGAGAACTTGATGTTCTTTTTCAGAGTTCAAAAATAGTCCTTTCTGAGTTTTGAGGAAGATCTAGACTTATTTAAAAAAATGACACTCCCCAGTGCTAAATTCAGCCTTGCCAATATCAACCAAGAATGAAGCGACTGGTGCTGCTCACGTGCTGTTTTCCTTCGCCACTCACACCTCCCTCCCTCCCTCCGTCCGTCCGTCCGTCCGTCCGTCCATCCGTCCTTCCTGCTTTCTAGTTTCCTTCCTAATTTCCTCAGAGCTGAAGAATGGTTTTCCCCCCCTTAGGCCTGCTATTGATATTACCTCCTAGAATACATGTTATCTGTTTTTTGCATTCCGAAGTAGAGGGGATGTTTTATAACTTCAGGACCGCTGGTGACCTAGTGTGTGGAGGAGTGTTTGGGAATACTAACTTCAAAGCCAGAGAGTCCTCACCAGATGGTCTTTCCCAAACAATTTTCCCCTCGAGTCTGCTGGAAAAGTCAGAGGGTCGACAGCACCGGCCCTGGCAGCTGGTTAAAAAATCAAACAGAGTAAAAAGATGAGCCGTGTTGTGGCTGTTAAGTCCTCTGTGAAGGTTCGAGGTCAGCATTCAGATTCACCCCACTTTACAGGTGGGGAAACCGAGGCCCAAAGAGCAGGAATGACCTGGGCAGGGTTACCCAGCAAATGCGTGCCAAAGCCAGACTGGAGCCCAGGTCCCCTTCCTCTGTCCCATGGCCCTGTCTGCGTCCGTCCTGCCTCTGCCCCGCTTTCTGGACTGTTACAGGAAGCTATCGTCTGAGCCCCAAATGCATTTTGCATTTTTCCCCTCTCTATACACTCTCAGCAAGACCAGCCAGCCATACGAGGTCACACATTTTCCGGGATCCCAGCAACCTTTCCAAACTGCCCTTCCAGACCTGCGATCCCAGCAGCAGCCCAGAAGCGCCTCGAGCCGCTCCGCGTGTGGGAGCTGGAAGGGGCAGCCCCAGAAGGTGACGCATGGTGATCCGATACACCTGCCGCTGACTCAGCCCTCAGCTCCCACTGCCCACGTAGCCACAGCCTAAATTAAACGAGCGAGCTGGTGAAAATGCAGTGCCTCTCTCCCTACCAGTTCTCCTTAGCAATGAGCAGGCAGGTCTAATTTTAGCAGAGAAGACTCTTAGAATGTGAGAAACAGAAGGGACTTTGAGATCATCTCCTCTTGTGGTTCTCAGCTCCCACTGAGCATCAAAATCATCCAAGGAGATTAAAAAATATACCTCCAGAAATTCGGGTTAGTTGTCCGAGGGTAGAGCATGGGTAGTTTCTCAAAGTTCCCAGGTGAATCGTATGTCCAGCCCCGATCTTCTCTCGCCCCTTCACTGGACAGAGGGCGTGGAAGCCTGGAGAGGAAGGGGCTGCCCAAGCACTGCCCTTGCACAGCACTGGGGGCACAGTCAGGACCGGTCAGTCTCCTGACTCTTCCCTAAGAGCTCTGGCGTTTCCTCTCTAACTAGAAGCCATGTCTAATGAAATGGCTAGGGGAATTAAAAAATCATCAGCAAATAGTATTGACCAAAGCTTCCTGTGCTCTGGAAGAGGTAGGAGAAAAGAGAGATGACAATCTTTCCTGGTCCCTGGATGTCCATAGTCCTGTAGCGGAAGCTCGCATGGCCCCCAGACGTCCCCAAACCCCTGTAGACTACGCCCTGCGATATGGACACTGGGTGCTGTGGGAGAACCAGCAGAGGAGAGGGAGGAACCCAGGAAGGCTCCCTGGGGAGGAAGTGTTGTTCTAAGTCTTGAGGGACAGACTTACTAGGTCAAATACAGGATGCTCAGTTGGACTTGAATTTCAGATAAACAATGGATAAGTTTTTAATATAAATAGATCCCAAATACTGACTGAGGCCTAGTTACACTGAAACACATTGTTTATCTGAAATTGCAATTTAACTGGGCGTCTTTACATTTATGCGCCAAATAGGGCAACACGACTGGGGGCATTTCGACAGCGGGGACTGCAGGAGAGGCAAGAACCGCCGACAGAGGGGGCGGCGTTGGCGGCAGCATGGGGGTCTACTGAGCAGTGCCCTGGCGTGGGAAGAGTGTAGGGGAGGGATGGGCTGTTGAAGCAGGGCCAGCCCAGGGAGGGCCAGTGAAGCTCTGGGGGTCACCAGCCACCGTCCACTCGCCCTGATGGCTGCCACAGCCTCACGGTCCCCCGCCCCCAACTTCTGTCCTGCCTGCTGCAGTCAGTTCTCCGGGCAGCAGGAGTAGCCCTCACAGAGCTGGATCACACCAGCTCACGCCCCGCTCAGGCCTTCCGTGGCTTCCCAGGCTGCACCTGGAAAAACGCGTCCCAACTCCTTACCTGAACCTCGAGACCCTGCAGGATCCGACGTGGACTATTTGAATGAAATCCACTCTCACAGGTCGTTGTAAGGACTCAGGGACACTGTGTTGTGCTCAGTGTCCCCACCCTGACTGCCCACTGAAACCACCTGGGAGCTTTAAACAAGGCAGATATCCCGGCCCCAGCCCCAGAGATTGTGGTGTAACTGGTCTGGGGAGGCCTGGGTGGCAGGGGTTTCTGGAGATCCCCCAGTGATTCCAGTGTGCAACCAGATGAGAGTCACCGGCGTACAGCAGATCCTCCGGCCCAGGGCCAGCGGCTCGGTGAGCGGGGTGTGGCGCCGCCCTCCGTGTGCCCGGCTTCACCTCTGCCCCTCTCTTGTCTCCCCCTCCCCGCCTTCCACTCCCTTAGCCTGGGCTTTCCCATTGCCTTTCTCTCCGCCCAGAATGTTCTGCCTTCCTTCTCTTCCCTAGGCCACCCCTTACGCACCACTCCCATCCAAGTCCTTCTGTTCCCTTCTCCCAAAGCACACGGAGCTTCTCCTTCACGTGCCGGCCACACGCTGTGCCTATGTCTCTAACCGCACGGGTATCTGCTCAGCAGCCCTGTCCCCCCCTGCAGACTGCAAGCTAGCTGCACGCACGGGATCCTGTCTTTGTCATTCCCCACCGTCCCCCTTGCCCCTGGACACAGGATGTCGGCCCCCAGTAGAGGTTAAGTAAATGAATGGATGGAAGCATGCCTGGGCACAGGTGTGAGGTGGTCAGATGTACATCTCCAGGAAGATCTTTCTGGCTGCTCTGTACTACATGCTGGGGGTGGGACCAGGACACCAGTGACTACACAGCCGTGACAGTACCACCAAGAAATGGCAGGGCCTCAGCCAAGATGGAGGTGATGGGGTGGGAGGAGGGACAGACAAGAGGCTTGGTGTGAAAGGGTGGGGACTTGGTGAAGGCACCCCGGGAATGAGGCTCTACCCCGAGGGATGGCAGGGTGACGGGGGAAGGAGACCCAAAGGAAGAGGCCGCTGCTGGGGAAGATGAGCTCTGTTTGTGCTAAGTCTGGTTGGCTGTGCCCGTGGTAGGTACCACAGGGGACACCTAGGAATCTGAGGCTGGGGACTCGGGAAGTCTAGGCCGGTGAGAGAGACTTGACATTCATGTAGAGAGAGGCAAAGACAATGTAAAAGTTTTCATGCAAGTGTTTCTTGCCATTTTGGGGAGCACAAAGTTCAAGGGAGTACAATGTCCGTGCCCGGGAGGCCCTCCCATCTGAGAGGGGCGCGTCCTGAGCCCCGGCCGTGTCCCCACAGCTATCCTGGGCATGCACACGCTCATGAGCAACCAGCAATACTATCAGGCCTTGGGCAGCAGCTCCATCGTGAACAAGGAGGGACTCAACAGTGAGTACACCGTGCCCCCGCCCCCCGCGAGGACACCTCGAAGGTGCAGCACCCACACTTCTCGCTGCCTCCCTCTCGTGCTCTCTGGCTCGTGGCGGAACGTGCACATTTTATGTGGTTGAATCTAGCCACCTTTCCCTGTCACTCCCCTGGGATTTGTGTCTCGTTTACAAAGGCCTTCTTCGTCCCAGTATTATTAAAACGGCCTCCCATATTTTCTTCCAAAAGCTATAGAGGTTTACCTCTTGGATGCGCCTTTTCAACCCACCTGGAGTTTGTGTCTGTGTATGTTGTGACATGAGATAAAGTTTTCATTTTTTTAATGGATATCTCTTGGTCCCAACACCATTCTTCGCAAAGCGTGTCTTTTCACCACTGGCTTGGGCTCCACATTGCCCGTGAACGTCCATGCATCCACATGGGCTGTCCCGGGGGCCTCTCCGGTTCCGTGGGTCTCCTTGTCTTTTCCTGGGCCCACATTGCATTGTCTGACTTGCTCAGGCACCCTGTGACCAGCTGGCGTTTTGGCTCCAAGAGGGTGTGCCGAGAGAATTACTAACCCCCCTGGCGGAAGGCCTCCTGTTTCTTTCCCATCCAGGCCTCCTTCTGGCCTCAGAGAGCCCCTGTTCACAGGCTACAAGACAAGGATGTCCAGATTCAGAGAGTTTAAGGAAGTCACCTAGTTCATGCAGGACAGCGCAGCCAGAGTCCAAGCAGGGCCACACCCTCTCCACACGACCCTGACCTCTGCCACCACTTCCCTCCAGAGCCTGCTTGGGTCTAGGGGACGGGGTCCCTGTGTTTCTGTGAGCCACCTCCCTTTTGTGGGTCCCTCTAGGTGTGATCAAACCAACCCAGTACAAGCCCGTGCCCGACGAAGAGCCCAACTCGACAGATGTGGAGGAAACGCTAGAGCGGATAAAGAGGAACGACCCGGAACTCGAAGAGGTCAACCTCAACAACATCCGGGTAAGCCCCTGTCACCTCACCCCACCAGAGAGCCGTGCCACCCGCTGCAGACAGCCAGGCTCGGCCACACGGAGACAGAGATGGCAGGGGCCCGTCTGGGCTCCGGGTGCTTCTGGATCAGGAATAGGGGCACAGTCTTCCCGAGGGGATGGCGACAGTGCAAACAAGCACGTCCCGCGGCCCTGGTTTCTATCAAAGGTCTGACAGCAGGCCCAGATGTTCACCCCCATCATCCCAGCTTCTCCTCGGGAAACTCGCCATGTCACTCAAAACACAGAGCTCCTTGAGATAAAATCGTGAGTCACACACACACCCAGGGCTGCTCGGGGATCTCAAGGCTAGAAAGCCCAGTGCCCGCCAGGCTCACGGGTGACCCACACCCTGGCAGGGCCACCCCTGAACCACCACGGCTGCCGAGTCACACACGTATTCAGCCTCATCCTGCAGCCCTGGAGGGGGGCTGTCGGCCCAAATCTCTGAAGACGTATTCTAAGCTGCCAGCCATATCTCCCTGGACACTTCCTGTGTGACCACCCAGGGCAGAGGAAGGACAGATGGACAGGCAGTCCCACGCTGGACGGCCAGCAGGAGGAATTCAGGAGCAGCCCAGCTGCCTGCCCACGTGCTCAGCCCGGAGGCCAGTGGGATTAGTTCTGGGAGGGGGTGGGAGTAACACAAGCAGCAGGCCTCTCACTCCCTGGCTCCTCTTTCCCTCCTTCTCCACTTTCTCTGAAGTGACTGCCAGCCCCACGACACAATCAGATTGGAAACCTGCATCTACATTGTTCTCCGCCACCTGGCCTCCCGTGCTCTGCTCCCATGGGGAGCTAAAGTGACGCTGTGAAATGAGAGACCCATGAAAACCCAGCCAGGGTCCCTCTCGGGTGCCTCCATTGTCTGCCATGTGCCCAGAGGGAGACACCAGCACCATTCAGAACCGTGCACCCTGGCACCGGGTGCCAGCGTGGAGGGCATGGGGCTGTGGGGCCTCAACCAGGGCTCACCCTCCCCGGGCCTCAGTTTCCCCTCTGTACCTTAGGTGGTTGGACTAGATCAGTAGATCTCATGTGAGGAATCAAAAAATAAGTGCCAGTGCCCAGACCTGCCCCGTCCTGAGATTCCGACTCTGTGGGTCTGGAGCAGGCCCAAGCATCAGCATTTTGTAAAGCTTACCCAGGAACCTCTTACGTGCTGCAAGGCTGAGACCCTCAGGGACAGAAGTCTCTTAAAGATCATCTAGCGCAAGCCCCTGACACACCTCTGTTTTCCAGAAACAGGCTCAGGGAAGGGAAGAGAACGCCCCCCAAGAATTACAGAGCAGAGCACACATAGCCAGTGCGGGGGCAGAGGTGAAGCCCCTGCCCGCCCCCACAGCCCCAGGCCCCAGTTCTTGGCACAGCACTCCTCTGCATCCGCGGCCTTGACTTTGCCTCCTCTCTGGCCCCTGGGTGCACAAGGAGGGAGTTGTGAGTCCCATCTGAAATTTCAGGGAGGATTTTCTCAATCTGCCTACCAGAAAGTTCTCCCTAAATCCCAGCCATTTGGAGCAAAGCTGGAATCCTTTGCCCATTTCACTTTTCAGTCAGAGACTTGCTACAAAGCAGGCTGCCTGTGTGAGAGCATGAGCCCCCATCTGTCTTCCCACCCTGCCCCTGGGAGGGGCTGCTGGTCACTGCCTGCCTTTCTCTCTGCAGAATATCCCCATACCCACCCTCAAGGCATATGCAGAAGCTCTGAAAGACAACTCGTATGTGAAGAAGTTCAGTATCGTGGGGACACGCAGCAATGACCCCGTGGCATTTGTACGTACCTTTCTGTTCTGTTGTATTGGTGGCGGGGTGGTGGTGGCATATAAACAGAAGGGTTGGTGCTATGGCCTCAGGACTGACCATATCCCACTAATGAAGAACCTTGCATGGTGTGGAGAAAGGCACTGGGCTAGAGCCAGGACAAGGTATGGATGGAATGGTTGTTACCAGGCACTGTCTGTACATCATCCTAGTTAATCTCCACAGCCACCCCTGATCCCAGAAGTGTAGGTCTGCCCACTTTGTAGAGGAAGAGCCTGGAATGCAGGGAGCTCAGGGCATTTGCTTTGTCCAAAGTTGCAGAGCAGGTAGGAGCTGAAGCTGAGGTTTAACTCCAAGTCACTCGGACCCTGTAGCCTGCTCTCTGTGCACTCAGCAGGTCATGTTTGGACAAGGCCTGTCCCACACTGGGCCTCAGTTTCTCCATATCTGAAAGCATTGTCTTTATCAGCAGGTCCTGATGACCAATTTTATTTGTTTTTTATTCATGTCTTTAAAATATTGCTGTTCAAATGAAATTGCACTTCATCAAAAGTAGCCATCAATTCTTTTTGTTTTCTTTTTAAACATTTAACACACATTTACTAAGAGCCTCTCTGTGTCCAGCAGTGAATTAGGCTCTGGGAATACACCTGTGCCCAAAGCAGTCATAGCTCCGCTCCCACGGATTCACGGCCCATTTGGCCATGCAGACAACTAAACATAACAATGTAGCATGATCCCTGCACACTAATAGTGAGTAAAAGGTGCAGGACTCGCTTACGGGGGGTGGTCATTGACGACGTAGTGGCAATCGGTTTGTCAGTGCGCACAAAATAACTCCCTGCAATTCTGACTGGATGGCCTTGAACCTACAGATCCAGTTGGGAAGAACTGATGTCTTGACAATATTGAGTCTTTTCATCCATGAACACATACTATCTCCCATTTATTTCATTCTCTGATTTTGTTCATCAGAGTTTTGTGGTGTTTCTTGTATAGATTTTATACATATTTTATTAGCTTTAAACCTAAGTATTTCATTTTGAGGGTGGTGATGTAAATAGTATTGTGTTTTTTATTTCAAATTTCCAGTTGTCCACTGCTGACATAAAAGAAAGTGATTGGCCTTTGTATATTAACTGGGTATCCTGGCAACCTTCTTAAAATCACTCAGTAGTTCTAGGGGGGTTTGGGGGGGGTCAGTTCTTTCAGGCCTTCTCCACAAACAATTATGTCATCTACGAACAAATGCAGTTTCGTTTCTTCCTTCCCATTCTGTATACCTTCTATTTCCTTTTCTTGTCTTATTGCATCGGCTATATGTTTAAGCGGAGTGGTGAGAAGGGACATCCTTGCCCTGTACCTGATATGAGTAGTAAAGTTTCAAGTTTCTCACCATGAGATACGATGTCAACTGTAGGGTTTTTATAGATATTCTTTACCAAGATGATGACATTTTCCTCGATGCCTAGTTTATGGTGTTTCAATCATGAACGTGTGTTGGATATCATAAAATGCTTTTTCTACATCTATTGATATGGTCATGTGCTTTTCATTTGTTTTCCTGTTGGTGTGATAGATTATATTAATAGATTTTCTAATGTTGCACCAGCTTTACATACCTGGGATAAGTCCCACTTGGTCATGGTATATAATTGTTTTTGCACATTGTTGGATTTGCCATTTTTTGAGGATTTTTGCATCTATGTTCATGAGCGATATTGGTCTGCCATTTTCTTGTGATGTTTTTGTCTGGTTTTGAGTTAAGATAATGCTGACCTCAAAGAATGACTGAGGAATAGTCCCTCCACTTCTGTCTCCTGAAGGAGAATTGGTATCATTTCTTCCTAAAGTATTTGGTAGAATTCACCAGCGAACCCATCCGGGCCTGGTACTTTTTGTTTTGGAAGGCTATTAACTATTGATTCAATTTCTTTAAGAGATAAAGAGCTATTCAAATAGTCGACTTCTTCTTACATGAAGTTTAGAAAATTGTCTTTCAACCAGTTGGTCCATTTCATAAAGATATGAGTTGTTTATAATGTTCCTTTATTATCTTTTTAATTTCCATGGGTTCCATAGTGATATTCTTTTTTCATTTCTGATATTAGTAATTTGTGTCCTCTATTCTTTTTCTAAGCCTGGCTAGAGGCTTGTGGGTTTTATTGGTCTTTTCAAAAAAACAGCTTTTGGATGGGGGTAAAAGGCAGAAAACTGTACCTGAACAACAATTAAATAAATAAATTAATTAATTTTAAAAACCCAGCTTTTGGCTTCATTGATTTTCTCTGTTGATTTTCCGTTTTCAATTTCATTGATTTCTTCTCTAATTCTTATTGTTTATTTTCTTCTGTTCACTTTGGATTTAACTTGCTCTTCTTTTTCTATTTCCTTAAGATAGAAGCTTATATTATTGTTTTTAGGTCCTTGTGATTGTCTAGTATATGCATCCCCTGTCATAAATTTTCCTCTAAGCCAGGGGTGTCAAACTCATATTTGCCAGGGGCCACATCAGCCTCGCGGTTGCCTTCAAAGGGCCGAAATAATTCTAGGACTGTATAAATGTAACTACTCCTTAACTGTTAAGGAGCTGAAATTACATTCGGCCCTTCGAAGGCAACTGCGAGGCTGATGTGGCCCCTGGGGAAAGTGAGTTTGCCACCCCTGCTGTAAGCACTGCTTTTGCTGCATCCCACACATTTTCATAAATTATGTTTCCATTTTCATTTCCCTCAAAATACCTTTCAATTTCTCTTGTGATTTCTTCTTTGACCCGTATGTTATTTAGAAATGTGTTGTTTAATCTCTACATATCTTGAGATTTTCCAGTTATCTTTCTGCTACTGATTTCTAGTTTAATTCCACCAGAGTCTGAGAGTAGGCATTGTATGGTTTCTGCCTTTGTAAATTCACGAAGGTGTGTTTCATGACCCAGAATGCGGTTGGTCTTGATGAATATTCCCTGTGATCTTGACAAGAATAATGATTATCCTGCTGTTGTTGGGTGAAGTAGCCCATAGATGTCGCTTACATCCAGTTGCTGGATGGTGCTGTTGAGTTCAGGTATGTCCTTAATGATTTTCAACTTGCTGGATCTGTCCATTTCTGATAGAGGGATGTTGAAATCTCTAACTCTAGCAGTGGATTCACCTATTTCTCTTTGCCGTTCTATTAGTTTTCCTCACGTCGTTTGATGCTCGGTTGTTAGGAGCACATACAAAAATGATTGTCATATCTTCTTGGAGAATTGATCGCTTTACCATTATGTAATGCCCTTCTCTATCCCTGATAACTTTCCTGGCTTGGAAGTCTATTTAGTAGCAATCAGTTCTCCTTGAATTTTGAAAATAGGTAGGACAGTTTCCTTTGATACATTTGAAATGATAGAAATGGCTCAGAGTCTCTCATTGCTCCTGGATAGATGACCTCTGACCTCAGGAGATCTCCAGTGGACCCTGAGTTCACCCATGGACATGGCTGGCAAAGCCACATGCTCAGTACACTGCTGTGTCATGGATCAGAAAGCAAGCATGTCCGTGCTGGCACTCAGCTCAGCTCCACATGTGTTTATGGGACAGTGACCCTGTGCCCGGCCAACAGCTGACATCAGCCCGTTTGCACCAGTATTCCTGTTGTCGAACATTGAAATGATCCAGGCCGGTTGGCAAATAAGGCTGCCAGAGCTCTGCATGCACCCCCACTGCCTGCCTCAGCTCCTCTCCTGCCCATGCCACCCCCAGGGCCTCCACACTGCTCCAGCAAACAGAGTGCACACCGGGTATGACAGAGTGTCTTGGACCTGTTCAGCCACCAGCGTGTCTACTTAGATCGGCCTGGTGGACTTGCCTACTGCTTGTTAAATACTTTGATTATCAGGCTCAGGCAGGCCTTCCCAGGGGAGCAGGAATTTTTCTGTGGAGAGAACACAGGCTGGGTCCCTCCCCTCAGGAGAGTACAGATACTCAGGCTCACAAACAGAGCTGGCCTGCCATCCTGGAGGTGCACAGCAAGGCAAGCTGGGGAGGGAGAGGGGGGTCCGGCAGGAAGTCTCAGCCAGCAGGGACGGCTGGTGGGCCTTCCTGGCTCAGACCACAGGGCCCCAGATTGTCTGTCCCAGTCCGTCAGCTGCCGGTGTCTCCTTTCTACCATGACACACTGTTTCCACCAACTGCTAATTACTTCATTTCCTTCGGAGGCTCTGATTGCCATCTATATGCCCTGGCTGAATTCCTCCCGAACGTGCCAGGGACTACCTGAGCTTCTCTCCACCCACGTGCCCTGGTCTCTTGCCCAGTGGGGTGGTTCCCAGGCCTCCCTCTCCGCTCTCTGCTGCTCCAACCAAGAGAACGACTCCATGAAATTCCAACAGGGAAAGAGAAGAGACGAGCAAGAATATTTAGGGAGGTTGGGACTTCACTAGTCACTTAGTGAACAGTGACTGAGGACCTACTGTGTGCTAAACACTGTGGGCGCCATGCAGTGAATCAGGTGCACTTCCAGCCCACCCAGGGTAGACAGTCTCAGGGCAGAGACATCCATATAAAAAGTAATCTAAACCTGGGAATACAAGTTCCATGAGGGAGGCCATGGAGAAATTCTATGAGCATCAAGAAGACAGGCCACAGCTCACTGGGAGCGCCAGCAAAGTTTCTCTGGGAAAGGGGCATCAAGGATGGCCTTGAAGGACAGGCAGGGCTTGGGTGGGCGAAGCAGACAGGAAAGGGCATTCCTGGTGGCAGGGGCCGGGTGAGCAAAGGCTAAGCAGCAGGGGGCCCTGGGCAGGCCCGGGGAACTGGGAGGAGCCCCACCATTAGGGAGCAGTGGGAGTTGGGGCTCCAGAACGGGAGACCAGAACCTGCACCCAGCAGCAGACTGAGGAGCGTGGGATAACCTGGCTGGGGTTCAGGAGCCATGGCGGGTTGGAGGGGAGGAGAGACACAGAGCCCTGCTTGGCGAAGGAAGTTGAGGGGGACCATCTTGCTTGGTCCCTGGCTCGAACAGCACATGTGTACAAAAGACTCTTGCTTCCCTGAGTGTTTTAGGTTTCACTCAAGATGGGCTCCAGCCTTGCTCAGGGTGACTCATAAATACCCTCGCTTTTTCCCTGTGGCTCAAGGCGCTTGCTGAGATGCTCAAGGAGAACAAGGTGTTGAAGACACTGAACGTGGAGTCCAACTTCATTTCCGGAGCCGGGATCCTGCGTCTGGTGGAAGCCCTCCCGCACAACACTTCTCTGGTGGAGCTGAAAATCGATAACCAGGTAAGACGAGCAAGGGCCTCTGCGTGCCCTTCACTTCGTGACGCTGGCCGTTCTGCACTGGCCTGCAGGCTGCCGGACTGAGTGGATGCTGCTGGTTATAAAAGCTCCAGAGCCCAGCCTCGAGGGGCCTACACCACACACACCTTCCTTCTTCATTCCCACCAAGTGCTCTTGCAGCTTTTGCTTGTGTGCCCCTAGTGACGGGGAGTTCACTCCTTGCCTGTCTAGTATCAGTGAGACTATCCTTTCTTTCTTTTTTTTTAAAGATTTTATTTATTTATTTTTTAGAGAGGGAAGGGAGGGAGAAAGAGAGAGAGAGAGAAACATCAATGTGCAGTTGCTGGGGGTCATGGCCCACAACCCAGGCATGTACCCTGACTGGGAATCGAACCTGCGACACTTTGGTTTGAAGCCCGCGCTCAATCCACTGAGCTATACCAGCCAGGGCTGAGACTATCCTTTCTTATATCCAGTGGAAATTAGCTTCCCGTAAATCCTGTTTGTTGGGCTTAATTCTGTTCTGTTGCACAGATCTTATAAACCATTGGAATCTTCCTTACCAGGCTGAACACCCCATTTTCTTCCATTACCACCCCCCCTCCACACACAAATGGGTTTTTGTGTCTCCTTGTCACGGGGGTTATTCTCTGGGCAAATCTAGTTTGTCTTTATCCTTATGGAGTTACCGTTGCTCTATAACTTCTGTGACTCAGTCATTTATTTTCAGGGCAACTTCTTGAAAAGTTCTGACTTTTTAAAGCAATGCCAGTGACAGTGCCTTGCATGGAAGGTACCTTGTACGTTACGTGCGTTGAGGGTCTGCGTGGGCTAGGCTCCGTGCCATGTCCCTGACACAGGTTGTCTCTGATTTTCTGGCCGGCCCTGCAGGATGTGGGTGTCACCTCTCCCGGTCTGCAGAGGAGCAAACGTCTCAGAAGGGCAAGGATAAGCTTTCTTAGGGCCTCCACGTTCATGCTTTAGGGGACACGATTTGAATCCAGATCTCTGACTCCAAATCCCACACCCTTCCATTACACCCCTCGTTTCCAAGGTTGAAATGCCTTCTTCTCTATGGTGTGTGGATAGGGGACTTATTTTTTCTACGTGAAAATTTTTGCTGAATGGTCATATAAATATGTGCATAGGGAAAAGACTGGAAGGAAATGGAATAATTGTAAATAGCGGTTATCCCTGAACGAGATAGTTATCTTTATTGTAAAATATTACAAGCATACAGAAAAGTGCGTAAGACTTAAATGTACAGTTTAACGAATCATACTGGGCTTGTAACCCCTGTCCAGATCAGGAACAAAAACATTACCAGCTTCCGGAAAGACTTCTGGGGTCCCTTGTCCATCAGAACCCCTTCACAGCACCTCACAGCTTGCCCCTACTTGCTTTCATGTCTCCATGTCTCTGCTCTTGCTTTTCCCTCCTGCTGGCCCTACCACTTGTCTGCCTGGGGACTCTTCCTCCTCCTCTTCTGGGTTCAGCCGAAGCGGGTCTGAGCCCCAGTGGTGTTCCGGAGCCAGCCTGGACCAGCTCTGGAAGAGCCAGCCTCGGGCGTCTCTTTCCAGCTCCCATTCAGGGCTGGCACGTTGGTCCCTTGAAATGGCCCCTAGCGGGAATATTCACATTGTGGAAATTGGCCCCCCAGAGTGAGTGAGGAGCTCCCCCCTCCCGAGTTCTCCTGGGCCCTTGACCAGCCTGTGAGGTTCTCTGAAGCCAGTGCTGGGTCTGAGTCATCTCCGTGTCTCTGTGCGGAGCACTGGGTACGCAGGGCTGCCCCGAGGGTTGTGCATGCTGTTCGCTGCGCAGTGAGGTGTCAGGGGTCAGCGTCCAACCCACATGCCACTCCTTAAGACTCGGTATGGAGCTGTGTTCAGCAGACAGGGCCCTGGTTCTCTGGTTCACATGAAAAGGCCACATGAGCCTGCAGCGGCCCTGTGGTGTGAACTTGCTGCACCCGACCCCTCGCATGTCCCGGATGCCAGTGGCCTTGCTGCTGCTGCCTTGCCCAGCCCCAACCCCTCCCCACCCCCACCTTTTATGTCCCTCCTTTGGCCACTGCTGACCCTGCTTTATTGGAGGCAGCAGGGGGGCACTGAACGAAAGCATACGGCGGGTGTGGCGGCTGCCCTGGGCCAGGGCCTGGGATTGGCTGGTCATGTGACTTCAAGCCTGGCTGTGCAGGGAGTCAGGGCCTACCCGGTGTGCACTGAGACCTACGGGCTGCCCACCTTCCTTCTCACTACTCGGCCCCCAGGGCCCAGAGATGGAGCCGGCGCTGACGTCACCCTCACCCCGCCTGATCCCCAGGTGCAAGGGTGATTGCTTCCCTGAGCCGCAGCACCTCGCTTGTAAAGGGGCTAGTAAGAATCCCCACTTCTGAGGAAATGGCAGATGTAAATGAGGCAGCCGTTAACCTCTGTAATTACTCCAAAAGTCATCTCAGAGTTCTCACATCGTTCTGAGCTGATTTCCTAAGCAGGTCCCATGAGTCCATTTGAAGGCTCACACAGACTGTAACTCAGTATTGCAACCCATCCCAGTATCACAGCTAAGGAAACTGAGGCCCATGCAGGCTATGCGACCTGCCTGTGGTCATACAGTAAGTCAGTCGCAGAAGCAAGATTCGAACCCAGATCTGTGTGACTCCAAAGTCCGTGAGCTCTGCCTGTCTGGGCTCTTGAACCTACTGCAGTTTCACGGGGACTGCGCTTGGCCTTTCTCAGCTGTCCCTGTCCCTTTCCCTTGGTGCTAGGCCAGAGCATTCTCACCACTTACTCCTGCATCCTGGGAGCCTCTCTTCTGGTTTATCTCCGTATTTGGTCAGCATTGGGTGCACCCCAGAGCTGCACTGGGCTCTGGGTCTGCCCCCCAGGGATTCTGCACTGCACAGGAAGATACACAAGTGCAGGAAGGATCCTCAAATGTGGTGCTCCAGCAAGCCACAGACAGCGGGCCCTAAGGTCCACTGGTACGAGCCGTCTCAGTCAGGAACAGGCATCAGGGGGACTTCTTGGAAAAGGTGGAGCTTGAGATAAACCTGTAGGGTGGACAGTATCTCAGAGGATGAAATAGAGGCCCTGGCATCTTGGGTTCTGGGAACCACACAAGCAAAGAGAAGGAAGAGAGGACCCCATCCAAACATGGCTAATGGTACCCCCAGAGGAAGGCCAGAAATGGAGCCGGGAGTCTAAGAGGCTCTGGATAGGCAAGCTGGGGGAAGATGGGTGTGGACTGCCTTGTGCAGCAATCACAGTTGTGCTCTGGGAACATGGTTCCCTGCTGGGTGGGGGAGGGCTGGGGCAGGGAGAGGGCCTCAGGGCCTAGGAGACCACAGCGGGTACTGTGACCTCCTAGGTGAGGGGCCTGTGGGGAAGTGCTCCCGTATGCCCGGAGTCTGAGACAGAATGGGGTCTGCTGGGGCGGGAGGAGGAGGAGGGGGAGGAGGCCAGTCTTGGGGAGGGGGCTCTGCCACCCAGGCTCTGGGGAAGACCACCCGTGCCTCTCACAGTGCGAGCGAGGAGGCCTGGGCATGGCCACCGGCTCTCATCGAGTGCCCCAGGCCGTAGGCTCATATGGAGTGTGACGGAAAGGAGGTGGTGAGTGGCATTTGATTTATGCCTCATTCTTGGTTAGACACCCAGGTCTTCAGAGGCTGCAGCTTTCTGCCTGGCCCTGGTGCCTGTAACCTGTGTCAGTGGGACTCTGTTCTCCTTTTCCCTTATATGGCCAAAGAAAGGAACTCGGGGCATTCTACCCGGTGACACAGAGCCTCCCGGGCTGGCTCCAGGCAGTGTCAGGAACCAGGGCTCAAGGCTCTTTGTTTACTCAGCCAGTCTTTCTTCATCTCCGAGCACTGCTCCTCTGGGGCCCGGAAGCTGCCCCGAGACCGCAGGGAGGGGCGGAGGGGCGGAGGGGCCCTGACCCGGGGCTGAGGGCACGGAGATCACGGCTAGTCCAGCCCCTCTCTTACAGGGGGGGAAACTGAGGGCCAGAGAAGGGACAAGACTTGGCCAAAGGCATAGATGAAGTGTCCCAGCTGGGTGGGAGCTGAGAGGTCCTGCCTCTCAGACAGGCTGCTTCCAGCCCAGTGGACGGGAGAAGCCTGCTCAGTCCCCGGGGCACAGACCCTGCAGGTGGGGCTTCTGCAGGCCCTGCCCGTCCCAAGCAGGTTGCATCCAAACATCCAAACAGTGGTTTTCTGAGCCTCTCAATTCAGCCTCCTCACTCCCACAGAGCTCCCTCCAGCAGGCCCTTCCCTGGACCCTCGGGCCACAGGGCACTCCCACTGCCCCTCTGAACAGACAGCGACCGCAAACCTGACCCCTCCGCAAATGAAGATACGCACAAGGTCTGGGGGTAGTGACTGAACGTTTCACTCCAGTGTGTGACAGTGAGGTTGCGCTTAATGTATTTTTTTAAAGCTAAAGGAAGTGGATTTTGTTTTCTTGTTTTTTTTCCAGATTGGATTATTTTCCTAATTAAAGTAAGTTTAGAAAGAACACAGAAGCCACACTGGAATAGGATCCTGAAGGCTCTCACACAAGGTGGCACCCCCTCAGTCTTACGTTGCACACGTATGTCCGCTGGCTAGCTCTGTTGTAAGTGAGGCTGAGTGTGCTTCTGGGTGTGCCAGACACGAGGGAAACCCTCCTGAAAACCGAAAGAGCAAGACTTCCTGCCTAATTGTGTTCTTTATTTTGTTCCTTATACATTTACCTCCTAAGCGGCAGCTCCTGGTCTGGGCATCATTTTTGCATCTGTACTTTCATTGTGAATCGAGGTGATTCAGCCTGGGGCTGTTGACCTCAGTGAGACGACAGGCATGTGTCACTGTCCCTTCCACTACGTGCCACTGGTGCTCTTTTACTGACGTCACTTCTCAGGGGAAAATGAGATCAACTTAGTGGAGGTTCCCACTGTGCCCTGTTCTGAAAAACCCGGAGCTTTCCAGAGGAGAGACAGGCAGGCCCAAGGATGGCCTGTCTTCA